CCTTTTACTACTACCTTGGCTGAAATACGACTGCATGTCCCTGCGGTGTGTTCCCCGTGCACCGAGCTCAGGGTGCGCAGGAGTCACGCTCGCGCAAATGTTTGCAGGATTTGCAGGATTGCTTCCTTTCCCTGTCTCACACAAACAGCAGTTAAGATAACTGTCAGAAAGGGTGCGAGTCCCACTAATTGCAGGCCTTGTGCACGCTGCTCCTAGAGCGGATCTCAGGAGCGGCAGTGGGAGCTGGGCGCAGGCTGCTCACGGAGCCTCCCCACGCCCGGCCGGGAAAAGGCGTCCGACCAGCTGATGGAGTTGCACGTCTGCAGACCAGGCTAAATTCTCTGAAAACGGTCTTACATAATTATAACCCCTGTTATTACAACCACAGTATTGAATCCACGTGGTATGACATTTTAACTCTCCTTTTCTTTCCCCCCGTTTGCCATTCATGTTAATTCACTTTATTTAAGTGCTGCCTGACAATTTATGCCATGATTAGGTTTTTCTTTTGAAATATCATAACAGTACTCATTTGTCTTTGTTCCCGGGTGATTTAATGTGTTGCCCTAATTTGTACTTTGCAGCAAGAAAAGGTTGTGAAAAGCATAATTTCAAAGTGATTAAATAAGTGATATTTATCACTGAAAAAAGAAATCTGTATCCTTTTGACTCTCAAAATGTGGTGGAAATAGAAATAGATATAAGACAGGATGACCTTACCCTGAAGCTGTGTTTCAGAGTTAATGTTCTGACAGCAATTTTGGGTTTAAAGTTCTCCATAAATCCCAGCATTTATTAACAACTGGTGTTACTCATTAACTCTCAATTTTTACTTGTATGACACAGAAAATTGTTGGCAATGCTAGACACTTGCTTTTGTACCTGAAACAAGAAATTATTTGGGGTCAAGTCCCGCTGTCTTTAAGCTTTTGCATCAAAAAAATCCCAAACCCTAATAACACGCAGGTCGCATTGGGCAGGGAGATGTTTCTGGCAGTGCACAGTCCCACCGAAGCCAGTAGGGATCTGCACAGGGGCTCAGATGCGTGGATGGGGGGGGCTCTACCGCTTCGTAAGACACCTCCTAAAAACTCGGTGCTAATTTGCTTCCTAGCACACACACAGCAGAGGGAAAGGATGGCAGTTCGGCTTCCCCTGACTCTGGCTGACATTTTCTCGTATTGCAAGGACACCTGCAGATCTCAGACAGGGACGTCAGCTCCCAGCGCACTGCGCAAGAGGGTACGCAGAAAGTCTTGGGGCAGGGGAGCCCAGCCCTCGGGTCAGGGCTGCGGCGGCGGGCGAGTAAACAGACGAACACAGGAGGTGGTGAGAGAAAGATCAAAACTCTCAAACCTAAATGTTCGGTGCACGACCAACTCGAAAAGATTGATAGTTTGCGTTGTGGGGGGATTTTTTAAGAGGAATCAGACGTTCAGCTACATTTAGACCGCGGGCCCCGCTGACCCTCGAGGTTATCTCGTCTTATCCACGCTCCCCCGGCAGCAGGAAGGGGCTGACGAGCAGCCCCGCTCCTGCCGGCGGC